CTCTCCTAAAAGTACCACAAGATCTCTGAAACTCTGTCTTTCATCTGTGTGTACTCAGAGGAAAAAAAATCTTGATTTTAAAGACCTATTTTTCTGCTCATTTGTTTTACATCACCCACCAGTTATCTGTATTAATAAGGCATGGCCAAACAGTGATAAGAAAGAGTAGCCCCATGCTGATAAGCTGGCTACTAGTTGATCTGACTTTGCAGCATGTTCCTATTAGGTCTACCCATGAAAAGCATCAGTGACTGGAGTAACAACACGATTGAGAGAGTCTCAAGGGATTTAGTCCATTCCAAGTGGATCAGCAGACTCGTGTTTGATGGTCTAGTACTGGTGGAATTGATACTTTTCAGGTGGGACAAGAAATTAGCTCCTTGTTATGCTATTTTCCACAAGAGTAGAGACCGTCACAATGTCTGTGCCACTTCTTGCTAGATGCTAGTTACTTCTGTCTTAGAATTTCCCAAACACTCTTTGTTTGCAGAAGCAATCTTTCCTACTTTCTGCCCTGGACTACTGCTAAGTAAGTAGTAGTTACTGTGTTGGGGGGACATTTGCCCTGTGTGTGGAGCACAGTATACTGGAAATAGCCAGTGTCAGCCATGCTGTAACGGAATGATGAAACTTGTTCCTGTTGCTTAATTTTGTAATTGATATCTATGAAACTATAGTCTAATGGTGGAGTATTAATCTGAAGAGAGGAACTTCACATCAGCTAGGAAATCCACGTATGGCTGATAGAACAGCACGTAATGTTGGCCTCTTGTTCCCCCTTAAAGTTTTAAGTGCACTTCAGCTCTTGAAGCTAACCCATTCTGCTGGAGGACTGCCCAGTCTTGCTTTGGCTTGCCTTTTTCTCTGGATTCCTGCCACATAAGAGATGTTAGCTACTTTGGTTGTGTTTTAGAAACGTGGAAACATGGAAAATGTGGCTCATGTAAGCTTATGATAATGGATTGCTGGACTCCTCCGGCTGATGTTGTCCTTCGCATTCTGCATTTCATGCTCAAGAATTCCCCTTGTGTAAACCTCACCCCTGTTGTTTGTTTGCAAAGAGAAGTCCTTTGGAGAGGAGACAGGATTTGCCAAGAGTAGGAAGGGAAAAGGGCTTGCTGTGTAAGATGTGACATACTCTGTATCTTACTGGAGTGGACCTCTTAAGCAGGATCGTGTTTTGCTGCTCTCTGATGTCCTCTGTGCTGTACTGATGTTTGTTAATGCTTAATCACCAATCCGCACTGCCTGAGCTATCTTGTGCCTTGTTGAGGTCCACTATCATCCTGCAGTCCACAGTAGCCTTGTTTTTGTAACATCAGGGAGAGAAAAAAGCTGTCTAACAGAAGCTTTCAGACAGCCACCACAACTTTTTGTTGGCAAAGATGAGGTAACAGGTGTGCAAAAAAGTTATGTATTTAGTAAAATATCATATATCCCTCTTCCTATTTAGATATGAATTCATATATCCCTTCAAAATTAGAGACTGGCAATGCAGATATTGAAGTGTACCATTTTATTGTGAGGCCCTCAGGCATATGGCAAGTTTCTCTCCATTTTCAAGGCATGGGCTCCTCATATCCCTGAGGATTACCTGCATAAGAGTGGTTGTGCTAAAGTAATGTATGGCTTCACAGCTTCCTTTTCTTTTCTTTAGGTGTGACTTCCTGCCAAAGGTATGGCAATATCTTGTCATCAGGCTGGTTCCAGGAAAAGAAGGTTGGCTTAAGAGTTACAGACCCGGCTCATGAGACAGTTCATTTTTTGTTTGGCCCTCGCCTACTTCAAGTGCTTCAGCCATTTTTTGTTTGTAGGTCAGCGTCGAACTTCTCAAGCAGATCTTAAGACATGAACACAGGGAAGAGTGGTGATGTGCACATCTCCTATCCCATGATCTGGCCTTAATTGCTCTAAAGAATGACATACTTTGTCAAGTCCTGTTTTTGTAAGTACTCGTCTTGATTCAACCTATTTTCCACCACAATGAGCCACCTGATTTGCATAGCTCTTGGAGGCAAAAATTTTCGGAAAAATTAGGGCCTTGACATGGTAGTTTTTATACGCATGTGGATGTCTTGTCAGCCTGTGGTCATTCTACAGAGATAGCATTTCCCTGAATGGCTAGGTAATGCCTATGTGCACAGGGTGTATGAAGTGCTTTTGGTTTCTGATAAGATGAAACGCCCTTAAAATAAACCCTGGTCCCACAGATATCAAGAGCGAAGTTCCCAGTGACATCTGTGGTGTCAGTGTTACAAAATTTGACCTCCTAGAAATGACTGAAGTTAGACTGTTAATAGTTTTCTCTACAGAAGAATCCTTTTTCTTAGCCTTGTGTGCTGTGAAAACACCTTCTGCTTTAGAAGTGGTCTTCCCATGGTGAGCAGGTCAAGAATGAATCATAATCACATTTGATAAGAGAATCTACAGCTTCATGGGATGAGACCATAATGCTCTTCTTTGGGCATCATGGGGTCTCATAGAAAAATCCTGAAGCATCCATCTGAAAAGATTAGGAAGAAACCCAATTCCAGATCTGGGATTCAGCTACCCTGCTGTTTTTCCAGATCTGGGATTTATCTACTCTGCTGTTTTTCCATGGTTCAAATTTCAAGTCTGAATTGGCATCCAAATAGAGGCAAACCATCATTATTTCCCTATAGAAAATCTGAAATTGCAGGCTGGCATTTCCCTGACCTCTGAATTGTTCCTGGTGCTGTGTTTTGTGGCATCAGCCCATCTCACCAGCAGCATTAGGTCAAAGGATACCTGCCAATGACAAAGGAGTTGTGCTTTCTTCCCAGACATACCATTCCTGCTAAGCTCTGAAATGAAGTTGGCCCAGGAGAATTCCTCAGACATGCAGGTCATGGACAGGCCAAAGCATGTAATTTTGAGTGAGTCAGCCTCAGAACCTGTGTGAGACTGACATTTGAGGATGGAGAGGAAAGCAGGCCATCAGTGCAAGTGTCAGTAACACTTGTGTATGTGCACATCTAAGTGAATCTGTGGGTGAAATTCTTGGTGCTGGGTGAGAAATGTACTGCTGTGCTTGGCAGGCAATGCAAGTAGGTGGACTGGTCCTCAGAGTGGGATGAAAGGGTAAAGGCAAGTTCAGAGCTGAAAAGTGCTATCACAGGGACTGGACTAGATTTCTTACGATTCCATTGATTTCTGTGCTATGCAGCCATGGTGACTGTAGCCATATTTAATCCAAGGTTTTCCTCTAGGAGAGAAGAGGGGTGGAAAAGAACCATAGCTAGCTTTGGAGCTGTGCTGTGGCTGATGTTCAGCTGGTGGCCTCTGCACCAAGTTTCTCACTGAAGTATGACTGGCAGGTGCTTGATACCTGCTGCCCAGTGCTGCATGGGATTTGCTTGTGTGAGTGAGGGGAAATGGTTCACTCTGGGCCATGCAGGGTAGCACCAACAGGAATTATAGGAAAACTTGTACACAAGAAGGAAACAGAACCAAAACTGGCTGCCTGATTCTAAAAAAAGTGTATTTCTTAGGAAATACATTAGTAGCCGTTAACAGGATCAAGATTAGTCGTATGGGCAAAGGGCAGTAATGAGACAGTTTCTACTACAAATTTCCCTGCAGCCGTTGCACAGATCAGAAGAGAACTTCACCATTCATTCCTGCGAACAACAACATGGAGTCCAGGTTCTTGTCTTGATTATAGCAGTGCGAATCAGAAGCAATTTTGTTGAAGTCAGTGCAGTTTTCCTGACATAGTAAAACAGAGGATGAAAACACATAAATCCATCAGCCAGGAAAAGAAGATGAACATAAGCTAAAATGACTGATACTAGAGGCAGTAAGAATTCAATTCCTTCCCACAGTACTATTCAGCTGACCTTCACATTTACAGGTGGACTGGTCTTCAGAGTGGGAAGAAAGGGTAAAGGCAAGTTCAGACTTGAAAAGTACCACCACAGGGACTGGACTGGATTTCATATGATTTACAGAGAATCACTGTGTGAGCTTTCTAGCTGGTCATATTGGTTATTTCTTTTCTCACTGTTGTGCATGTCAAGGCTGGCTGGACAGTGCAGCCCAGAGCAGAACAATGTTTTCAGAGAGCACCCAGGAGCAAGCCCAGGACAGCAAACACCTCCGATTCTGCTTCCATGCGCAACGTTTTATGCCTACTGCAAAAAGAGGGTTTGGGATGCTTGTAGGATCTTTCTGATACATATGAAAAAGGTGATATCTTCTCCACCACAAAATATACAAAGCCTGCAGCTTTGCCTAATTTCCCGCTAGCTGGGAGACTTGCATGTAAGGTGTCTGCCTTTAATCCTTTGCCTACAGGAGGAGTTGGTGATGGGGCTTGGAGGACATGCAAAGATACAAAAATCTCTGCTTGCTCTCCATTTCTAATCTCCACTTCTTCCTCTTGTCAGATTAGGAAATATCTATTTCAGGTATATTTTCCAGTTTTAATGGAGAATACCTAATAGTATTTTCTCACTGATTGCATTCATTTTAGAGAGCAGTCTTATAATTTTGTCATTCACTGTGGCCTTCTGTTCCCTCTAGTGGTAGCTGGGCTCTGTGTAAACCATAGCTATATAGGGAGTTTGTTTTGCGTCTGAGCTTCTTTCAGGATCTAGTTTACCCTCAATTTTCATTGTTCACTGCAGATATTCACTAGGAAGGCTAGAAGACATTTAATCCAAGCTCTGGAGTTTGGATATAGTCCTTCTGCAGGCCTGAACTTCTCAGGACCTGGTGTGCCAAGAACCAATCCACCAGCAGGTGCCCCAGAAACCCATTGGTTGCTCAGCATAGTCACAGGATCTCTCATACCTGGACTTGTATCATCTGAAGGGCCATATGGATGCTCAGCCACAAGCAGGATACCACCAAACAAAAAGTGCAATGTACAACAGGAAAGCATATGGATCATGGGATTGGGTGTGCTTGAGCCATGATTTTCACCTCACCACGTGGATATGCTCCTTTCAGGGGTTGAGGAGCCTGCTGTTACCTTGGTGACTGGAGCTGGCGCAATTAGTACAACCAGGAGAGCCTAATTCAGCATAGTCCAGAGGATTAAAAATGAGTTCTTGCAGCACAGGACAAGAAGTGGTGATTTCAAGGATGACGTGAGGCAGATATCGTATTTTGTGTCATGTTTAGCCAACACAGGGGTGCTGGGTTGAGACAGTTGGCTGCTTATCATTCCCCTGCACTGCAAGGGAATGTTCTTTCTCATGTTCCAGAAGCCCTTTGCCTTTGAAAGGCAAGAACTTCACTAGGGACTCCCTGTTCTCTATTAGCAGTACCATTAACAGATGGTAGTTTCTCCAGCTCTTGCAATGGAAATGAAACCTCTGTCTAAAGGAAAAGCAGTAATAATGTTGTATTAGTCCATGACAAAAGCACAGGAGTATGTGCTAGCACCATCTAGCCAGCATCCCCATCATTGCAGCACCAGCTACCTCTTCCTCCACTTTTTTCCATCTTCGAGCTCTATGCAAGTAGTTGTCCTCTGTTTTCAGCTACAACTCTTATTTACTGCCTTGAATCCTTTGTCCTTCAACTTTGTTGTACTTGCCTCTCCTCCATTCCTCATCATCTTTCATGAAGAGGCTGCTAACTTGCAGGCAAAGCCATTGGCTATGTCCCAGTACTTGGGAGTGAGGAGGAGATGTTCTTGTGGTATCCCAAACCTCAGACCCTCTGACAAGGGTGAAGCCAGAGTATTCCTGCATTCTGCTACGATATGTGCCCGAAATAATGTGAAAATTACTACAGGGCATGCACTGAAGCAGCTACTGGAGAAGATCTGCCTTGACACAAGGTACAGTCCATCAGTCCTAAAAGCAGGGAGCTGTGAAGTCCCCTTTGCTACCTGCTGTCTCGAGGTGTGGTAGTCCCAGATATGGGTCAGCTGCACCCGGCTGTCTCATTTCAAGACCAAAGCAGCAGGGGAAGGTCCAGATGATCAGCAATTAATTACCTGAGGGAAGTAATCCCCATAGATGAGGCAGTGCTGTGGGGCCGACCGTCCTTGCGCACTATATAAGCGGTGCTTTGTTTCATACCATGGAGCCTGTCCTGGCAGCCCAGTCTGTCTTGAAGCTCATCTCCTGACCTCCTTTTTCGGGGTATGCTGTGGCTGGGTGGTGACATGGAGGAAGTACAGCAGCGTGTGAGTGAGGGCAGGATATCCCTGCAAGCCCTCAGTCCTCGTCCCCAGCGTGTGAAGGTCGCTGGCTCCTGGGTAAATTTCCATCGGATGCGGCATTCTCCCGTTACGACTCAGCATTTCTGACACCCGACTGCAGCTTCTCTTTCTCATTTGATCATTTTCTTGGTAAGGGGAACTAACAGCCGTTACTAGAGTGATTTGGCCACTGTCCAACAGTGTGTATATTACTCACACATTTCCCTGCTAGCAAAAGGGTTTTCTTTTTTCACTGTCTGGTTGCAGCCTCTTTCTATCTTCATCATTAGAGAGCTCAGAAGGTCAGTGCTAAAAGAGAAATCTCAGAGGCTTTTTTTACAACCCAGAGTAAGGGAGGGCTGGTGAGGGGGGAGAGGGAAAGGGTGAGAAGGAAGGGAGGGTATGCCCAGCTGAGTTAGTTCTTCACTAGGATTGTCTCTGGTACAGCTGAAAACACGATCCTGGAAAATGTAATATTTATAGAAACTGTACTACCCCAGCTGGGTAAATCTCAAGGTCATCTGATGATCACTGCAAAATAAATGGTCAGTTACTGCTGCTGTTGCTCTTGCATCATGAGACTGTAAGACCTTCAATTCAGCACTGAAATCTGCATACAAAATGGGATCCCACTCCCTCTCCCTAACAACCATCTATCCTGAAACTGCATTAAGGAAGAAATAGCAGTGAGGCAACTCAAAATGCCTGCATGGCCTTTTTTTTTTTTTTCCTGTGAGAACATTAAGCTATTAACTCTAATTCCCTGGGAGGCAGAGGTCTGCAATTCATTTCACATATAGGGCATCTCAGGAGTTTGCCTGAACAAGCGAAGGACCAAGTGCTGGCCTGAAGCCAGTTCTTTCATTTTTGAGCCCTTTTCATCCCTTGAGGAAATTTGCACGGACATGCTGGATGCCAAAGTCCCCAGAGAGAAAAGAGAAGCAGGGGATTGGTGTTTTCATTACATCTATTATATTCCTGCACAAAGACAAGTCCTGACTTCATCACCAGATGGATATGATCCTCCTACTGCCTCATGCCCGCAAAAGTACTATTGTCAAAGAAATTTGTGGTAATGGGGAAAGGCTAGAGCAAGGTTATGACTGCAGCTATTTCACTCTAGTCCAAACAACTGTCCAGGTCTAAAGAGTGAGAGGTCTCCACTGGAGAGAGTGGAGTCAAGGAGGCACTGTACTGAGGCAGGTACCGGCTTCTGAAAGTTTAAAAGGCTCTCTCCTTCTCAAATATTGAAGACAAACTAAATGTGACCTCCAGACCATCTTCCTGAATTGCCTTTCCTGAGCACAGAGCAACATCTTCCCTAACTTTTTCTGTTTCTGACATATTTTCTCCAGTGAGAAGGCAAGAGCCTTTACGTTTTGTGTATGGGGTTAACACTGTAAATTAAGGTAAATATTCGTGTCTTCAAACATTTATTCAGCTGTGAACCAAAATACTTGATTGCAGTAGCAGTACTTTAACCAACACAGTGCAATGTAAAGCAGTAATAAAAAAAGAAAAAAGACTGTGCCACAATGATCTGTAATGAATGTAAGGATAATAGTGTGGCAACTGCAACAGGGATCATGCAAAGGTACAGCAAAGGTGCACGCTCACAAGAGCACATCCCATGAAAGGGATGTCTTTCCTGTTGCATGACCTTGGGTCAGATTAAGGTAGGCCAAGCAAATATGTGTGCCAAGATGTACTGGAGCATGTTGTTTGAAAAGTGTGCTCACTCAGGTGAGGTTGTAGGACTTCTGCATGCACCTCTCAGGTCCTCAGCCCCACAGTGCCCCAGGGATCCATTTTCTCCCGGGGAACTGGAAGATGGTCTGCTTGTCTCTAGACTAGAAACAAGGCACTAGAAATAGTGCCTGCCCATTAGACTGCATTGCAGGTGGGTTCAAATCTGGTATATACTCTAGTGAGGGATCCTTTCGGATGTAGAGGTCATGAGTAGGTAGCTGACCAGGAATATGCAGCCCAAGGGAAGGAGCAGGAAAGCACTGGAAGACTAACAGTTTTGAACACAGGGGCTAACAACCTGAACCTGAGCCAAGTTGGATGGCTCATTAAACTCAGGTGACAGGTCTTTGTAGGTCAAGGGGAAATGGGTAAGGAAAAATGCTGTGGAAAAGCTTAGCTTAATGCTGCAGCTGAAGGTGAAGACTGAATGTGAACATGCAGCATTTCACATAAAGCTGTACAAATATGAAAGGGAGATATAGGGAAGACAGTTTGAAGCATTTGACCTCCAAATTCCAAGATCAAACCTCCCTGCTCTAGGAAGCAAAAATTATGTATGGGTTTAAAGGTGGGTGCCATGGGAAAAGCAGTGGTTGCCTTGCCTCTCTGAAGAGCAGAGGCTATGAAGGATATGAATTCCTAGCCTAGGATGGTCTATCTTGCTAGGACTTGTGTGAAATTGAATCCACTCTAGAGGATTCATACCAGAAAGGCTGCAGCTAATACACATGACATTCTCAAGGATTAGAAAGATGATTTTTCATGGGCCAGATTACTTTAAAGACATTGGCACTGCCATATCAAGGTGAATCCTATATCCATCCAGGGTGCAAATGACAAATATGAAAGCATCGCTGGGGTATGAAATGTAGAGACTTCTTACTTTCATGGGATGAGATGCTTAAATGCATCAGTGGGAGAGAAGCCTTTATGTACCCTGTTTGTCTTGATGAACTTTAAAAGTTTAGGACAGTCTCTCAGTCTTGTGTTCAACATTGTCTTAGCCATATACTGGAGAACATAAGGTTGCCTTTTACTTAGTGAGGCCTGGCTCAAAGAGGCAAAATGTGCATGATGCATCCAAAGTAAGGCTCCTTTATCAACTCTACACTATTTCTAGACAGAGGTTTTAACTTTTCTTTGAATGCTTTCAAAAGAAACACCTTGCCCTGACCTGCCTTGATGACTAATGAAATGCTGAGACGGTGTATTCAGGTGGCCTCACAGAGGTGTCTGGTAAACAAGAAAGACAAAAGCTGTAGCTCAAACACTGTGGAAGCCTTTCTCTTTTTTTTTTTCTCCTGTGGAAGGAGAACTGTAATGTAATAATTAAATCATTATTATGCTTATGCCCCAACACGTGTAATGGAAGCATTAGCAAAATTCTCTTCTTAGGTCTTGTCCCTTGTGTGTAGCACCAACTCCATATTAATTTTCTCCTGCTGAATGTGGGAGCAAGAATAAGTTCATACATTTTTAACAGTGGGACAACTGTACCCAACAGTGCCAAGGGGGCCCTTCAGAGAGTGTACAGGTTAGGGGCATGTCAGGTAAGAGGAATGTAATCTATTCATTCACTCCCTCTAACACTGTTTTGTGCCTTTTAAATTATAAAAAGTCACAAGAATCTCCTCCTGCTATGCACATTTTTGAAAGACCTCCAAGCAGAATGACCTCCTTCTCTGTTCCCTTGGTGAGAGGACACCTTTCTGCCTACAGTGAAAGGAAGCAAATAATAGCATCTGCTAGTCCAGGGGGCATCTTTCAGCTGTGGAAGCTTACAGGTTTTGCCTGGTATTTTCCCTCTTCCTAAAGCACATGTTAATGATTTTGACCTTTCTAGTAATTTGATTCCAAAAACAGTGTCGCAGCAGCTGAGCCCTAAGCTGTCATTTGGTAGAGAAGATTATTATCACTCTGAAATCAAAGCAAAAGGCTGCTTGTTCAAGCCTGTGTGGAGATCCCCTCACGTATGGAGATCCTCCTCTCTCATCCTTCTGTGTCCTCAGCTCTGGGCCTGCTGTCAAGGAGTTCCAGTGTGGTTGGCCAATGTAAGGGTAGATATGCTGCCAATTCTTTGCATCTGTGTAGTATACAAAAGCTCTATGAGAACCAAACTGGTTGAATATGGGATAATACTAAAGGAATCCTTGTACACAGGTAACTAAGGTGTGCTGGGTGTGGGAGGGTGTATAAACATTTGTTTATATGTGCAATAATTGAAATAGGCTATTTGCAGGTAGACCAGAAAGTGCTCTTTGCTTGCCTTAAGCAGACACCGGCTCGTGCAAAAGTTCTCCTTCCAAATCTGTGTTCCCTTGGCTCCTCCCACAGTGTGAATAATCCCTAACATTTCTGTGACTCAGTGGATTCGCTATGGAAATGATGGCAATATTTTCAGAGTCACAGTCTAATACCTGAGCCCCGACAGGATTCTTGCCCCCACATCTCTGGCATTTTGCATAGTTATGTAACACCTCTTACTCATGGCACCAAAATCACTGTAGTGTCCTTGTAGTGAGGAACTAGTGAAATTTGGAGTAAAATCCAAACCTCCCTTTTGGTCCCTCTTAAAAACCTTTTCATTCATGTTGGAGTTTGCAGCATTTTTTAAAATGTGATTTGCAGATAGCTTGCTCTGTTGGTGGGAACAACAAGGTCACAGTTTTATTTTAAACTTCTTCCTTTTGCATTGCAAAATCCAAGTCACTGTATAGAAAGAAAATCTGATTAGCTGCTTCAGGAGACTAACATGAGCATCTGCCTTCAGCTTGTCTGTTTCATCCCCTCTTCTCCTGGTCCTCTACCTCCTGTTCCCCAAATTCTTAAAAAGAACAGTAGTTGGAAGAGTGGGTGTGCAAAAAAAGAGAAAGAAATAATCTC